AAGCAAGGATGGCGATGGAGCAAGGAGTTTCAGGCTGTGACCTGGAGGTCTTGGTTGAAGGAAACCCATCTCCAGCTTCAAACAAGGTGAAAAGCTGTAGCTTGTCCCTGAGGGGAGATGCAACCCCCCCCACCTCCATAAATCATTAACAGGGTCCACAGTGGAAAAGGAAAGCTGGGAAGCTTTGGTACTGTGCTTGAGAGTGTAACCTTCCACCAAGGGGAAAAATGCAGTTCGTTCCTTCGTTAGGTGTATCAGCCAAACAGGTAATGCAGGAGTGAGATCCTGAGATTGCGGCTGCAGACAGCATTACTTAAGGGAGAATGTGTCACTGCCCTGGTCTGGAACAACCCCGTCCCTCCCTAAAGAGGGCCACAAAGCTGCAGATAAGGTGGCCAGAAGCGGGTCCAGGGGAGGAAGGTGCCTTTGCAGCCGCAGGGGGAGCAGCCAAGGAGCATCACCAGCGTCCCAGCTGGGCCCACGGTGACCCTGGCTCATGGGGGCCACAGACTCAAGACACCCAGGAGGTTAAGGCTGGAGGACTTTGCCTTCATAATCCAGCCCAAGGTTGTAAGATGAGCCGGAGCGAGATCCAGGGACGGCCGGTTGGCAGCGATTCAACGCCTTCCACAATGCAGGGGCCGGACGCCAGGCGCTTTCCATGGGGCTGGGCTGGGCTCCTCTTCCAGCTGCAGGGGCCGGGGCAGCCACCCCCCAACCTTTGCACGGGGCAGCAAGAGCAAAATCCAGCCCAGCAGCAGCGCCCACCCTGCTGCTGCCCCTCATCCCACCCCTCCAAACGCTTTTGTTTTCGGTGCCCAGGTGAAAAGCAGCGCTGGGCTGGTCCTCGCAGCCCAAACAAGCCTTTCCATCCAAAGATGAAGATCTTCCGTGATACACGAGGTGTAATTTGACCATCTAAACACGGCGCAATTTGAAGACTCGAGCGGGCAGGTTCCCTTTGGGAGGGAAAGCGAGAGCCAAATCACTGCTCCGCCTGCAGATCCCCCTGCTCCGCGGCGCGAGACGGGCACGGGGTTTGGTTACAGCAGCGGATTGAAAGGCACCGGGACGTGATAGGAACAAAAAAAAAACACCAAGAAAAAAACCCAAAGCTTCCCTGGAGAGCTGGGTGGCTTCCAGCCTAATCCAGCCCCCGTGGGGAAAGGGCGTTCTGGCATATGTTAAGCTAATGGGATAACTGCACCGGCGCGCCTCGCTCCGCCGAAAGTTAACAGCCACGGGGGCAGCGCCGGCTCCCCCGCAGCCCCCACCCCAGCCCTGCTTTCAAAAGGGAAACGTAGAAAGCTCCTCGGGGTAAAAATAGCAAATATTTTTAACAGTGTGAGGACTAAGCAACCCCCCTGTTCCATGCATGCAAAGTCTCCTCCGGAGAAGGGATGCCAAGCCAACAGGACTCCCCGGTCCCCAGACCAGCAGCACCGGGACCGGTGTCGGTTCCACCTCACAGCCTTCTCCCAGGGCAGCAAACCTGCACCTAACGAGTTCCTTCTTCCAATACCAGCTACAAAGGGAGGCTGGAGGTACTTTGGAGCTGGTGTCGGCCCCGGATGCTTTCCTCCACTCTTCTCCATCCCCAGAAGCGATGATCCAGGCAGGTGCTGGCCACCTGCCCCTTTCTCCACGATGTCCCGTCCTCTGATGGACCCTTGTGGGCTTGGGGACAAGCAACCCCCCTGTTCCATGCATGCAAAGTCTCCTCCGGAGAAGGGATGCCAAGCCAACGGGACTCCCCGGTCCCCAGACCAGCAGCACCGGGACCGGTGTCGGTTCCACCTCACAGCCTTCTCCCAGGGCAGCAAACCTGCACCTAACGAGTTCCTTCTTCCAATACCAGCTACAAAGGGAGGCTGGAGGTACTTTGGAGCTGGTGTCGGCCCCGGATGCTTTCCTCCACTCTTCTCCATCCCCAGAAGCGATGATCCAGGCAGGTGCTGGCCACCTGCCCCTTTCTCCACGATGTCCCGTCCTCTGATGGACCCTTGTGGGCTTGGGGACAAGCGTCGCTGCAGCTCAGGTGGGTGAAGAGCAGCAGAATCTTCTCAAACACTCCTAGTTAAGCCTGGGAAGGTGCTTCCCTCCCTACTGAGGTCTGCCCATCCTCTCCATGCTGCCCTCCTGCAACCCCAGGGGCCGAGCCGAATAGACCATGAGCTGCCCCGAGGTCTTTCACTCCCCCCCCCTTAAAAAACAGATGTGAAACGAGAGCACACTCCCATAAAACAGCCAAATGGCAGCGTTACCCCCATTATACTTCACACAAGGAATCCATTCTAGGCACAGACACAGGAACCAAGTTCAGGAGTTCAAGCTGGTGACCTACACCTCGCCTGCCTCCTCTTTGAGGGAGGTTTTTCCCCCCCCCAGGTCTGGAGGGGGCCACAAGGGGCACCTACGCTGAGCCCGGCGCTGCTGGTGGTTCCCCTCGAGGCTGCGCTCATCTATGGCAAAAAAAAAAGAGTGTTTCAAGCCTTATCAATTTCCAAGCGTTATCAATTTCCACCTCTCGCAAAACACACACCCATTGAATCCCGATCATAGAATCATAGAATGGTCTAGGTTGGAAGAGACCCTTGGGATCATCGAGTCCAACCATCTACCCTACTCTACAAAGTCCTCCCCTACACCATGTCCCTTAGCACTGCATCTAAACGGCCCTTAAACACAGCCAGGGATGGTGATGGAGTGTTTTTTCCTAAATAACGCTCTCCTAAAGGATCCGGTGAAGGGAACCAGCCCCAGAGGAGCGAGGCGCATCCTCCGGAAGGCAAAGAGCATTTCTCTGGAGGCGAAGCAAGGGCCTGAGCCTGTTAAACCGCTGCGAGACTCACTCTGAGGCCGGAGGACTCCGCAGATGACTCACATCTTGACTTTTTTTTTTTTTTTTTCCCTCCTCTCTCTTTTTTTACGTCGAAGGAGGCCAGAGATACCTGTTCTTAAGCAAGAGCAGAGCGACTTCCTGGCCAATACCCAGTGTGACGCCCGTAAAAAGCCGCCTTTTTCTCTCACAGAGGCTCGGGGCGGCCGGCGGGGACGCGGCCCTCGCTGCCGGCACCGCGGGGCTGTGACTCAGCCGCCTCGCCCCGTCGGAAAACCAACGGCGGGGCTGGAATTACCCTGCTCTTCCCCCCGCGCCCCGTTTACCAAAGGGGGACAGACTGCAGGGCTCGAGTCGCCCACCTCAGCCTGAAGTCCCCAGAACAGCTGCTTGGACCTCATTCTGAAATTTAGGGACCTGAGCGGCGCCGTGCTGGGGACACCAGAAGAGGAACTGAGTTAGGAAGGGATGATGCCACCAACTCACCCTTGAAAGCTGAGGCTCTCCCCCTGCCAAGGTGAGGGGAAACCTTTCTTTTTTTCCTCCCCCCCCAAAAAAGTGCCAAAGCCAAAGTGATTTTAGATTCCACACACTGAGCCCTTCAGTAGGTGGGATCCGAGAAATAAAATCCAAGATAAAAAGCACAACTGGGAAGTAGCGGGAAGCCTGAGCCACGGTGCCCACGGCTCCTTCCATGCTCCAGAGTTCCCTGCTCCCAGAAGGTCCCTGCTCCAGAGTGAGTTCCCCACTCCCAGAGGGTCCCCTTCCTCTGGAGCCAGTTCCCCACTCCTGGAAGGTCCCAGCTCTGGAGCAAGTTCCCCACTCCTGGAAGGTCACAGCTCTGGAGCAAGTTCCCCTCTCCCAGAGGGTCCCCTTCCTCTGGAGCAAGTTCCCCACTCCTGGAAGCTCACAGCTCTGGAGTGAGTTCCCTGCTCCTGGAGGGTCCCCTTCTCCAGAGCCAGTTCCCCACTCCCAGAGGATTTTTCCCACTTTTCCCATTCCCAGCCACAAGGGAAACAACCAACGCTCAGTTCCACCAGCGAAGCGACCGGCCATCACAGATCTTTCATCCAGCTGTTTTGAGGATGAAACTAAATGGTTTTTTTAACCCCCGACACATTCCTCTGGGAGGACTATCGTATCAGCGGGGTTAATTTCCAAGTAGGGATGGCAGGCACATTTTTTTCCAAGCCCCATCCACGAGGACCGCATCCCTGTGACTGGGAAAAGTGAGTGTGAGTCACGGCACAACTTGTGGAGAGTCACACTAACCACTGCCCTAAGGAAGCTCCGAGCGGGAACGGTAAGTCCTGATGCTCTGAAAAAAAAAACCTGACTGAACTACTACAACGAGAGGAGCCACGGGAGGTGACTCCGCCGCAGCCTCGTCTCCGAACTCCGAGGAGTTTAATTAATTATAAGTCGGAGTAAGTTCGTTTGCACAGCCACACCCTCAACTGTCACGCAAGGAGGACAGAGCCCGGCCTCGACACCCATCCAGAAAAAAGGCTTCGGGAGGATCACAGCTACTCCCACCTGCCTGAGTCATGGTTTTCCTGGCCATTCCCGAAAGCTTTAGGAATCCAACACCCAGCCTCACACCTGCGGCTGCTGGGAGCAACCTTGGAACCTCCAACCATCCCCACCATCAGCGCAAGCCCCTGCCCAAGGAGCCCCTCAGCCCTTGGTGACCCTTGGGGCCCTCCACGCCACAGGCACCACAGACGTCCCCCGGGGGGACTCTGTCACTCCAAGAGCCACCCCTGTCCACTCATCGGCCCCCGTCGGCCACGGCTGCGTTTTCTGCACTGGCCCAAAATCTTCCCTTTCCAACCAAGTCACTTCTTGCGTGAAACACGGGACCCTCCAGTCACCTCCCCAAGCTCCGGGGAACCAGCCCCCCCGGGCAGCGTAAATTTGATGCTCCAAAAAGTTTGCTGGAGATGGTTAACTGCAAGAGTGGGAGTATTAAAGGAGTATCATCCTTCCCACTTATAAAAATAGTGGCTAATCTCAGTCCCAAAGGAAGCACAGACAGGCTGCCCAAGCCGGGAAATACAGAACAGAGCCCTCTTTATGCCGGCAGAACGCTCCACTGCAGCACCATATTGCCCCTTTCTGTTTCTCTCATCGTTAAATATAAGTAACATACCAGGAGAGCTCCGCTGTATAATTGCTTTATTTTCTGCTTATTAGTTCTTTACCAACACTACAGCCATATTGAGAACACAAAATTCCTGGTTACTTTAGTCAGGGAGATCACAGTCTACAGACTCATTCACTTATCAGACACGATTAACGCCATTCAAAACTTACTCCATAAATTCACATGAACACAAATCGATGCACTTCAAAACTCCAGATTAGGTTGTTTGTTTTTCTGTTTGTTTTTTTTAAAAAAAAAAAAAAAAATCATAGGATTTCTTACAGATTGCCACTTTATCCTACAGGCTTCGTTTGCTGCCTGATAGCCACTGGATCGTGGTGAGGTTCAACTACAACCTATAAAGGACATGTTGAAAGTGAAACCTTTTATATTTTGTTCAGTAGCGATGGCCATTTATTTTTGAAGTCGCTGCCACATGTTTCAGTAACTTTTTCCCTCCCCCTGCCCCCCACCCCCCCAAAAAAAGACATTAAAAAAAAATTTCAGAAGCATAATCAAGTTTCCTTTCACCTACAAAAACAGAATAACAAAGTTACTAAGGAAATACAAAATTGTGAATTCAACTTAACGCAGAGTCTAGCAAAGAAGTCTGCCCCAGCACTTGAAAACAGAGTAAATCAACTTAGACGAAAAATGAAGTTATTGAAGTTTTCATGTTGACTGAGAATAGATTTAAGAAAGTTCAAGAACCATTAAGAGAGCTTCAAGTTTTCCAGTTTAGGCATTTACTTTGTGCTTGGCTATTTTATTTATGCTCCAGAAGAAAACAGTAACCATGTTCTTGTAATTTTTAGTCTTTATACCACCACACTATTCGTTAAGTTACATCAACAGAGAGAAATAAAATAATAATAATAGTAAAAAAAAAAAAAGCTAGAAAATAGAGCAATGATATTCCAGTGGCAAAAAGCCTTGAGTGAAAATAAAACAAACCAACTCACCTCTTCGTCTTTAGAGCTGAGATTTAAGAGTTATTCTACATTAAGCTTTTGCAGACTCTCTTTTAAGTTAGGAAGGCGCAGAGTCAATCAATGCTCTATCTTCTGGCATCAAGATCCCATTGAGTCCCATTTGCCACCCACATCCAGGTAAGTCTTTTGGAACCATATCCTAAAGGAACTTTTAAGTGGTCCAAAGCATTCCATTCCCGAAGCGAATCCAGTATTTTTATCTTCCCCTACATCTTTGGTAAGAGCTCCATATACAATGTACTTAGCGCGCAGAGTCAACACTGCAGAAATGTAGTGTAATGCCCCCCATTTCATGTAAAACTCATAGCCTTGGAAAAGAAAAAAAGAAAAAAAAAAGGAAAAAAAAAAAACCAAGCCATTTTCTTCTGGTTTTGTAGCATACATTCCTAGAATTCCCCAATGGAGTTTAACTCCTTGAGGAAATCTGAAGTTAATCCTTAAGGCTGAATAAGAACCAGCTGCTTGAATGTTTTTTTTTTTTTTGCACCCAGCATTAATACTTGATTGAGTTTTTATACTAATACTTCTTCTGGGTGGGGTTTTTTTACTTTTCTTTTCGCCAGTCACATCTGTGAGCTGTGACACGGCAAATGAGCTGCTTGCCCTTTAAGAACTAATTATGGAAGTTTACATTCATAGTCGTATACTCTCTCTCTCTCATATACTCTCTCTCTCTCCCCCTCTCTCTCTCCTCCCTGCTCTCATTAGTAGTTCCTCAATGGGCTTCAGACATCCAACACAGTTCCCTTCCTGCAGGACGACAGCAACAACTACATGTGGGAGTTCAGTCTTGGAAAACTAAAGCAAAATGAGTGATTTTTTCCTCAAAATGGCTATTAGTCAGATGTCAGAACTACCGAGCTCAACTCTAGCTACGGAAGTCTACAAAATGGAAAAAAAAAATTAAAAAGATTTTTTCCTTTCTCCACTCCATGCGTGTCAGAAAGAATCAGAAATCCTTTTAAGATCTGGATGTCTGCAACTGCCTTGAGATGAAAGCAACTTGTCTCCATTGCAAGACAGGAAAGTCAGTGCTAAGATTTTTGCCTAAACAGCTGCGACTGGAAGTCAAACTTGTTGCGATGCTTCCACCTTATTGCTGGGTTTTCTGGAAGGAAAACTATCCTGCACTGAAATCGGAGACTGACACCAGCAGTAAAAACTGCAGCTAAAACATCATTTAAGTCGGCAATGCGAGACAAAAAACTCCACAGTATCTACCCTGGAACTGTTACATCATTCATGTCTTATTTGCTATATGGTTGCTATGTGGTATGGGGAACTCATTTGCATCCCTTCTCATGCATGATGTATGGTTCAGAACTTCACAGCTGACATTTCAAAGCAAGTTCTTAACATTACCTAGTTAACATTATGCCTGATATGCACTTTGAACGCGTTACAATGGTATTCTCACTACCTGCCACTCTGGGCAAGAATTCGTTTCACTATTAGTCTGAGATATGAAGACAGACCGAGAGTCACTACTTAGTTACAGATTAACAGAACTTTTTTTTTTTTTGGTCAAAAAAAAAAAAAAGTCCTTAATATAAAAAGACAGACTGCAGTTTGATTTTAAGCAATAATTTTCAGTTTACTAGATGAAATCGACCTATCAACATATTCTGCATGAATGCAAAAAAGTAGCAATCTACAGCAAGTGATAGAAGAAAAAAAAAATAATATATAATCAAAAAAGTAGAACCAGAAAGCATACACTGAAAACGGTACCCCTCCCCCAACCATCCCCCAAAATAATCAAACCATCTTAAGGGCTATCAAGAGAGAGAAAAAAAAAAAAAAAGTTACTTAGCAAGTCTACAATGTGTCTTTCCCCTGTTTGCTGGAAGTCTGCCATAGCATCTAGTGCTTGTGTTCATGTCACATTCGGAGATTAGAGCATCCTAACGCCAAGCAAGAAGAGTTAAAACAGGAATCCAGTCAAGTGTTGCAGAAGGAAAGGGTGGAGAACTGGAGAAAGGTGATCATAATCCTATGGATGCTTTTTGTTTTACTTTTCAGTAGAGAATCATTCTTCTGGAAAGCCATGTGGGTTATTTTTTAATTTTTTTTCTTTAATTCTTTGTAGACTAAATAGTTATTCTCTCATTAGGATTTATAATTGGATGTTAACCATGTCAGCCCTTCATAGAGTCCATCCCCTGTAGTAGCACAGGAGGGCTGCACGTACCAATTCCTATCCCTGATTCGGGTCAGGCCCAGTTTCTCCTGGATTTCATGGGGTTTCATGGCATCAGGCAGGTCCTGCTTGTTGGCGAAGATGAGGATGATGGCGTCCCGCATCTCCCTGTCGTTGATGATGCGGTGGAGCTCCTGGCGGGCCTCGTCGATGCGGTCGCGATCGGCGCAGTCCACCACAAAAATCAACCCTTGCGTGCCCGTGTAGTAGTGCCTCCAGAGGGGACGGATCTTGTCCTGGCCCCCGACATCCCACACGTTGAACTTGACGTTTTTGTAAGTAACCGTCTCCACGTTGAAGCCCACGGTGGGGATGGTGGTGACGGACTGGCCCAGCTTCAGTTTGTACAGGATTGTGGTCTTACCGGCCGCGTCCAGACCCAGCATCAGGATCCGCATCTCCTTGTTGCCGAAGATCTTGGACAGCACCTTGCCCATCTCGGCGGCATCCAAGGGGCCCGGCGCCTCCGGGGATGGGGGGGGTGAGGAGTCGGGGGAG